AATTCTGTGTCTATTCCTGAGAAGGTGAGTCAAATGTTTCAGTTCAACAAACATAGCTTCTGTACCCAGAGGAGATGGGGGTTGACTTCTGGTGCTTCCCCAGATGTCCAATCACCAGCCTGCTCTATTGGGTTTCATTTTCAGACCSGATGCTCACTTTGGCTAACCACTTGCTTATCCTGAGAATGGGGTCCCTTAGCAGGTCCTCAGATGCAATTTGCTGAATGAACTGATTAGTTATGACCATAGGTGTGGCCACAGAATGACTCTTGTAGGACAGCAACAACACTCAGCTTCACTACAGCAGACAGTGGTGGGTTGGTGGGCTCCATATTGGACTCTGGGAAGGCTTTGTGGGTGGCAGAGATAACAGTTTGGTACATAGTGGTTTCCAGTGTTTGGGAAAATCCAAGCAGAAACTTTGAAGTGAGGAAAGAAAGAACTTGTTCCACAGAGAGGTCCCTCAAGGTGGAAGAGAGAGAGAGAGAGAGAGAGAGAGAGAGAGAGAGAGAGAGAGAGAGAGATAACTAATTAATTAATTTTGGGTATCAGTAGCACATAGGTTAATTCATTCATTGATTCATCTATACTTTCATTCATTTAGTCAAAACATATTATTGAGCATCGACTTTGTGCAAGCTCCCATTACAGGAACAATGCTCTTGCCTTCACAGAGCTAGTGTTTATCAATATGTGGTTCTCAGGGGATAAAGTCATGGCAATAGCTGAGACCTCCTATAAGAAGCCCATGAAGTACGAGCACACTGGAGTCTAACTCCAGAGCAGCAACTGCAAGAGCTTCTGAAGGAAGGAACCAAGCCATGGATTAGCCAGAACCAACAGGGGTGGATTTGCTTTTGTTTCTGTCATATTTGTCAAATCAACAAGATTTAAAAAAAATAGTATTGGTACTTTTTCTTTTTTTAATAATACTGGGGATTGAATCCATGGGTGCTTTACTATTGAGCTATATCCTCAGCTCTTTTTAAATTTTTTTGTGAGACAGGATCTCACTAAGTTGCACAGACTGGCCTTGAATTTGCATCCCTCCTGTCTCAGCCTCCCAAGTTGTTGGAATTAAAGGCATGTGTGACTGAGCCCTGTCTGCACCCTCCAAAAATATATATTAACAGAGGTAGTAAGAACATTGAGGGTAGGAGGATTGTTTACTGATGTGTTGTTTTGAGAGAGGCTGTTTTTCCTTTTTTAAAGGATGGAAATACAGGCCAAGAGCCTGAAAATTTTCCCTACATTTAGCTATTTCCTTTTATGATTTAGGAAACTATTATGGTGGGTTATTTAATTCTGAATACTTGAGGAGACTTAGACACAGGGCTGCCATTGCAGTGTTGTTTTTTCTGTAGTGAATAATTGGACATCATTTACATGCCCAGGTGCCTGGGATTATTAAATAAATCGTCAACATTACTCTTTGGCCACCGTAAAACTATTAGAAATAAAGGCATCAAAGATCTTAAATGAAGTGGAAAATATTCATGATATTTTGTGAGAAAAAATGTTATGAACCAAATTATAAGAGAAATGGATCAAGAGAAGATATCTGCAATTTTTAAACGAACAAGAGACTAACTTCTAGAATATACTCTTGTAATGCAACAAGAAAAAGATAAGGAAAAATGAGAATGTTATGGGTGTCAGACCACAAAGGTGGAACCCAATAAGGCTAATGAGGCTATGAAGAAATGCTTGTACTCAGTAATTTAGGGAAACACATCAACATGACAATAAGGGATTCCCTTCACTTCAATTGGATTGGCGGGCAGTAGAAAGTAGGGTGATGCCAATTGGGTGGCAATGAAGAGACAGAGGGGCCTTCAAATACCCATTATAGAGAAGGTGGTTGGTTCCAGCTTTCTGGAGGCTTCTTCGTGGTATGTGGTTGAACTGAGCAAGGCACATGTCCTCAACTCAGTTCTGCTCCTCCTGAGTACCCACCCAGAGCCCGTCACATTCTGCCCCATGAGGGAGCACACACAGGAATGTTTCCATGGCATTGTGTGCAGTTTTAGAAGTTGTGTTTAATCTCGCCATCCATCACTGTGAGAACAAACAGGTAAATGCTCACACACTGCCCGCTTTGCAATACAAGGCAGCAAGTTGAAGAATTAACTTAACCGACACACAGGGGTGAAGACGGATAATGCTGGGTAAACCAGGGAGATGCAGAAGAGATGCAGAGGATCATTAGGTAGCTTGCAATGCAGGTGTGTGGAAAGCAGGAACCTTGGGTCATGCTTCCTAAGGCCCGTGGCTGTGGGACCCCACCTCACAAGCAGGTGGGGTGGGTGGGGTAGGTGGGGTGAGGATCAGGGAATGGGAGTGAGGAATGGAAGTCCAGGGAGTGGAGGAGCAAACAAAGCCCATAAGGAGCTTTGTCAGATGAGGGAAGGACTGGGTGTGCACAACCCCATGGCCCGCCCCTGAGGGCCAAGCCAAAAAAGAAAATTAATAAGCCACCCAAAATTCCTGCCAACCACCCCAAAGAGCAAAGTATATATCTAAAGTTAGCTTAACAGTATTAGAAATATGTTCTTCTTGAACTATAGAATTATAGGTAGAAGCTGGAATATCAGTAATCATTTGTCTGGGAGTAGGTAAATTTTATATTCTTCCTGATATTTTCTTCCTTCCCAATTTTTAACAATGTGACATAACTTTTGTAAAAAGAAATAGTTTCTTCTTCTTTCTTGTCTTATTTTCAGTACTTCGGATTGAAAGGAAAATGACTTTGTTTCTAATTTTATATTGCTTCATATTCTACTTTCCTCTGTCAGTGTTCCGCATATATTTTTTTTATTGACTTTGAGATGCCATTTACTTACACAAAATGCACCTGTRTCAGTCAAGACATCCATTAGGGTGACAAATATCTGAGATAAGCCAACTTAGAGGAAAGGTTTATTTGGGTTCATGATTTGGGATGTTTTAGTCCATGATGGATTGGACCTGTTGATTCGGACCTGTGGGGGCACAGTACAGAGTGGTACCAGAGGAGGCCAACTTACGTCATGGGTGACTGTGAAAAAGAAAGAGGAAAAGTCTGGGTTCCTATCAGCCCCTTCCAGGGAATGCGTCCAGTGACCTCCTACTAGGGCCCTGCTTCTTAAAGATCCCACCACCTTCCAGTAGTACCCCCAGGGGACCAGGCTTTTAACATGAGGGCCTTTGATCCAAACTATAGCAAAATCATTCTTAAGCTTACATTTCATGCATTTTGCCCAATATATACACCCATGTAATCACCATAACAATCAATATGTAGACATTTACATAGCCACAAAATTTTCACTGTGCCCTTGCCTAGGAAACTTGCCCATCCCTACTCTCAGTGTCAAAACATTCATGGGCTTTCTATCAGTAGAAATTATATTTATTTGTTTACTAGTTTCACAAAAAGTGGAGTTATTTAGCTGAGGTCTTTTTGTATTGATTCTTTCATTCAGGATAATGTTTTGACATTTGTATGTTTATCAGAGGCACCTTCCATTTTTATGGATGTACAGTGTTCCATCACATGGCTAAACCATAATTTGTTTATCAATTTAAACAACAACAAAGCAGTGATTTTTGAAAATGAAATCTGAAAGAAGCATGTGTAATAAAGAGGAGTCAGGGCACAAAATTTTATGCATGTAAAGGTTGAGAAAATTTCAGAGTGGGATAGTTCCCCTTGCCAGCTGACATAGTACTAACCCCATTCTAGCCTGCAAGGACAGTATGTCTGAGCTACAAATTAAATGTGATGTACCCCTGCTGTTGCTGTGGCTGAGAGCAAAGTACTAGGTAAGCTGCATCTGTTGTCTCTTTATCTGYTTACTACCCTGTGACTGTTGGATGCTGGCTGACCTCAGGATGAATTTCCCCCGTGGTTACTTTGAGTCTGGGGAGGGCTTGTTGCAGAAGCCAGGACATTCTGGTGTTACCTTAGAGTTTATTATACTCCAAAGAGCCAACCACAAACCTCTGTGCCAATCACAACTCACTTGAATATTTGATGTTTAAAAATTCAAGCACACAAATAAAAATACCTTCCAGAGCTTCACTCTCAGGTGAGTTGTTCTTTGGCCATTTTCACCACATAAGCTCTTGTTCTCGTGTCGACTTGCTCAGGCTGGTCTGCATAATTGTTCCTGTCTGCACGCAAAGAGGGGCTCCTGTAAGCTTCTTGATTTAAAGGTTCATTTTGAGGGCAAAGTTCTTTAAAAATATTGAATGTGAACCAAATAATGCTGAGAAGGAAGAATGTGTCCAGATTTATGCAGTACAAGGAAGTTACCATTTAGATAAAGAATTACAAGTTTAGGAAATAAGTAGTGGTGATAGTTGCAAAAATTGTAAATGTACTCAATGGCATTTTATTGCACTTGAAAATGGGTAAAACGGCAAAAATTTATATTTTACCAGGATACAAAAAAGTTAATGATGTAACATACCCCAAACCACTAAATGATGCAACCTTAAATGGAAAAATTTTTGGTATATGAATGGTATCATAATTAAATGAAAAATAAAATGAAAGAAATTTTTAGTAGAGTGACATGCCTTTACAAACACTGGTAAAATATTCACAGGTGTCTTTTATTTAGTTAAGAGGCTGCAGCATGAGGTAATAACATGGGACAGATTTTGGTACTAAAGGTTTGCTTTCCACCTTAATGTCTAGTTGCCTGTGTGCCCTTGGCCCCTCTGGTTTCCTCACTTCCACACAGAAAATAAGAGCACTCTCTGCTGCTACCTGGGGTCTGTATGGTRAACCCAGTACACTGTGTTGCTCATGGAAGATTGTCAATCCCATCCAAATCTGATGAATCTCTTTTTAAAAATGTCTTCCTTATTTTAGTCAGTTTCGGATTCTTGAGGAACTCTCTTCAGTAGGAACTGAGCAGAACGAATACTGTACCTTGTCCCACAACCAGTGTCATCAGGAAGTGTGATGAGGCAGGACTTTTTATTTTTGTTTGTTCTGAATTCAGATCAGCATGGAGGCTGAAGATCTCTCAAAGGCTGAAGACGGACCTGAGGACCCAGGTTTAAAAAATGAAGGCCAGTCTGCTGCTGTGCAGCCTGAGATCCCACTTGGAAGGCAGTCCCCTGGTCCCACTGACCTTTGGGATATGCTGGAAAGGAAGTTTCTGGAATACCAGCAGATGACATATGGGAGTGCAGATGAACGTCGGAAGAGTCTGCTGTGTCTTCTCCCCCTGTTCCTAAAGGTCAGAATTTCACTTTTTAAGAAAGTTTTATTTTGTTTTTAATTGGCACATAATAATTGTACATATTTATGAGTACRGTGTGCTGTTTCAGTACATGTGTACATTACGTAATGAGCAAATCAGGATATTTAGTGCATGCTTCCCCTCAGTGATTTGTTGTGTCTTTGTGGTAGGAACCTGCAAATCCTCTCTTCTAGTTACTTGGAAATATACAATAAAATATTGTTAATTATTTTATTGTATTTATTTATTGCCTCACTCTTCTGACTTTTAAAACTATAAGATGATACAGTGCTTTGGATATACTTCTGGGATGAATGAAAACCAAAATCATTGCTCTTAACATTAATGCCAGTGGCCTCTGAATGGCTGTTCAGGGGAGAGTTGTCTTAGTCTGTTTATTCTGCTGTAATAAAAAGTAGAGTGTCTTGTGAACAACATGAAAATCAGATCTCTAGTTTCTCTTCAAAATTTTGGTAGATGTGGTAACACCAACAACTGGATAGACAGAGATGACAGAAGATGGTCTTTTAGACAGAAGATGGTCTTGGCCYCTCACCTTATGCCAGTCCCCCAAATATCTTTCACCCAATCCATGGGTGAAACATACTCCCTTATGTTTTCTCATCCCATAGGCATTCAAGTTTGAGATCCTATATATAGTGTTTCCTATTTTAAAGAACCTTGACATTGATCCATGTCTTACAATCCCCTCGTGATAATTGAGGCATCATGGCCCTTTTGTTGAACACATGGGCTTTTGAGTCAAACAAAACAGGGCTCAAGTCCTGGCTCCATCTCTTATTAGCTGAGCATACTTGAGAAAGTTACTAATTCTTGCTGAGCTTCAGTTTCTTCATCTGTAAAGTGAAATCAATTATATTCTGTTGAGAAGCTGTGAGGTGAGATAAGATGATGTCTGTCAAGTCCAAAGCACATAGAACACACTCATGCCCTGCATCACCTTGCCTCTAGCCTCCAGGGTCCTAACTKCATGTATGCATGAACATTCGAGATCCTGCCTTCATGATTTCCCAAACTGCTGGCACCATCGGCTTCTCTTTGGATCTCTGGAGCCCACCTCCAGTGAATCCTGTAGAGGCAAACATTACAGGTTTCTCATGGTTTTCTTAATATCTACATTCTTAAATTAAGTCCCACAATGTCTACCAATCTGACATTTCTATTAAGTTCTGACTAATAGAATCCTGCAAGAGTCAGAATTCTCAGGCTTCCTAATTGAGAGTTGGTGGTGGAGAGGAACGTGGGGAAGATGGGGAATGTTTCTCAGGTGTAGTTCAGATAAAAAGGGAGGTGTATCTAAAGACTGGAGAACATTCCTTGGAACATTCCTCATGCAAACTGTCTGGCTTGTAACTATTCAGTCCTGAATTTTATAACCATAAAGAAGTACTCTTCAAGGTGGTTTATGCCTTGCAAATATCAGAACCTGAAAAAGTGTACCATGTCCTGTGAAATTGGGAGGCTAATGTCAAAGCCTTTTGAATTAATTGGTTGTTATGGAAACCATGTCCTGCTTGGGATTTGAATGCATATACGAATCCTGAATGGTTTTGTTTGATGAGAAGTTGACTCTATACCTGATTCTCTTCACTTTGGGTCCAAGGAATAATAACATGGTCTGGAATAATCTTTCTATGAAGATGATGTACACTGGGATTTTGAATTGCCACTCCTGCTTGGAAAGGATTATATTCTTGGGATATGGGATCCTTACTGTCCTTTCAGTCAGACCCAACATGGAAGAGGTGACTCATATGTAGTCAGAGCTTAGATGAAGATTGACAGCTGTGTGTGTTCTCCTTGTGGCTATCTCCTGCTTCAACCTAATGAGTCTTTAGGTTTGATATGGATMTTGTCTTGTGTAGCAGACTCTCTCAGAGGTGGTTTTATTTTATTTTATTTTTGCATCTTTTCTTCAGAGGACTTCCCTTTCTCTTTTGTTTCTTCCCATATGACTCCTTCAAACTCATAGCAGGAATATTACCTAGGTATAGTTGGTGACCGTATTGCTCACCTGGACAACAGAGCTCCTGGGTTCTGCCACCTGCTAACTGAAACTAGGATATTATTTCACCCTAGGGTCATTTCATTTTTAATACATACCAATAAACCCATTGTAAGTCGGAGACATTGTAAGCAGAAAAAGCATTGAAGCCACCAAACCTGCCCAACAGTCCAGCTTAGCATAGCATGCTGTAGAGCGTTGGTCATTTGTGATCACATGGTTGAGTGGGAGCTGCGGCTCGCAGCTGCTATCCAACTTCAGGACAGAAGACCATACTGCATGCTGCTAGCTCAGGGAGAGATCAAAAGTCAATATTCAAAGTTTGGTTTGTACTGAATATGTATTACTTTTGAACCCTCATAAAGTCAAAAGATTATAAATTGAACCATTGTAAATTAGTGACCATCTGTATACAGTCAGGGTAGTACTATAAAGTGATACTCAATAGCCAAGTGATGGAACCAGACTACATGTCCATCAACAGATGAATGGATAAAGTAAATATAAAATAAATATATATACACACACATACACACACACACAATTGAACTTTGTTCAGCCATAAAGAATAACAAAGTTATGTTATTTGCAGAAAAATGGATGAAACTGAAGAGTATCATGTTGAGGGAAATAAGCTAAATTCAGAAAGTCAAGGGTTGTATGTTCTCTCTGATATGTGGAAGCTAGAGAGAAAAAAATTATGAAAGAGACCTCATGTAAATAGAAGGGAGAGTGGCTGAGTTGAGGAAGGGGGTCAGGGAGAGGGAGGGCATGAGGGAAGGGGATGTTCTGGAGAATGAAATTGATCACATCATGTGCATGAACATATTTGTCACAATGAATCCCACTATTATGTAGAATTATAATGCATTAATTAAAATATGAAAAAGAGAATAAGAAAGAAAGAAAAAAGGAAAATGACAATTATTCCTGTATTTGTTTACATGTAACTGCATTAACTGTGTCCATTTAGAACAGAAGCCTCTCCACCTCACCTCTCCTCATGGTAGGTCAGAGAGGAGCTCTTAGCCAGGGTGAGTTGAACAGTGTCTCAATCCTGCTCTAGGGTCATATCCTCCAACTCTGCCTTTCTGTCTTCTTTTCTTTCTTTTGATATCACCAAAAGACCTGTGCTGCCCACACTGTGTACTGATGGTCACTGACTTATTATGGCTTGAATTATGATAACTAGGTAATATTTACAGAGCTCTAACTAGCAAAGCAGACCCTTGCTGAGTGTTTAAAAGTATTCACAATGACCCMGTGAGATAGTTGGTGTTTTTATCTGATTTATTAATGAGGAAAGAGAGGTTTGCAGATGTTGAGTCACTTGRCCAAGTTCACTCAGTTTTTAGCAGAGTGGAACTTAACCCAAGAAGTCTGTCTCAGGTCTGCAATGTTAACCATTGGGCTCCCTTGCTCAATGCTGGGGTTTGTAGAATGGGGTATATTTAGTTTCTGTTTCCCTAGCCCATGACTCACTGGACAATGATGTTGCCTGCAAGCACCCTACTTTTCCCTTGGACACAAAAAGGAACACACGTCATGTTTGGACAGATGGCTCCAGGATATTGCAGACAGGGAAGTGGCTTTTTTTAGTTAGTGTATTATAGTAATACTTAATTTTGGGGTTTGACACATCCACAAATGCAAATAATAATTGAATTTGCTTCATTTCAGTTCCCAGTACTATCTCCTTCTCTCCTCTCCTCCTTTCCCCTGACTCCATTACTCTTCTCTGTTGGAATTCCTTCTATTAATTTATTTTTTATATTGGTGCATTAAGTTTGCAGTAGCCAAGCTATGGAACCAGAGTACATGTTCCTCAATAGACAAGTGGATAAAGAATATGTAGTATATACACACGATGGAGTTTAATTTAGCCATAAAGAAGAATTAAACTATGCTACGTCTGTGTATGAACCTATCAGGGAAGAGGTTTTATTGCATCACTTGGGAAACAGCACAGGGCCAGTAACTTCTGTAGTGTGCAGGGCAAAATTTTTGAGAAGGACTCAGTAGACTGTTCTTTTCCTGCCATGATTCTTGGCCTTTGGTTGTTTCAATACCCGTAGAATCTCATGCCAAGACAAGAAGGCATTCCTCTGGCAAGCACGGGCAGGCCCTGGCCTGTGGATGAGCAAGCTGTGGTAGAAGGGAAGGACTCCAGGTCTTCACAGTGCATAGACATATTCTGTGATACTAGATATGGGGAACGCTAGGGCCCCAGAAGTAGTTCTTGAAGATTGCTTGTAGAATATGCACTTGAGAGAAAACAAGAAAACACAGACCTTAGAGAAGACTTTAGAGAATGCCCAGCAATTAGAATAAAAGCCCTCAACATAAGGGACAGACGATCTGGGGGGTGGCGTGTTATGAATAGGCTCATATTTCTTCATGCAAGAGTAAGACCTATGCCTCTTCCTGTTGCATCTAGGTGGATTTGTGATGTTGTGGCTAATGGAATAGGATGGAAGTGACGTTTCTAGGCACAAGCCTCCAGGGGCTTTTCCTTCCTGTCACTTGGAATACTCACTAGAACCTGGCTATTATGTGAGGAAGTCCAAGTATCCCAGAGGAAAGTCCTCTGTGGAGAGGAGCTAAGGCCCCTGACCTAGGCAGGTGAGATGGTACATACCTGTAATCTCAGCTATTCAGGAGACTGAGACAGGAGCAACTTAAATTTAAGGCCATTCTGGGCAACTTAGAGAGAACTTATCTTTTTTTTTTATTGTTTTAGGATCAAACTCTGTTATACAAACGCTGTATGTTTTTGGTATGGATTTAGTGTAGTGATTTTCATTATGGTAAAATGCATCATCATAGCACACATGAACAGTAGGCAGTTCAGTAGGGTTAAGTTTATCACAATGTTGTGAAGTAGTTTTCCATGACTTTCTCATCCTGCAAAATTATAACCTACAACTTTGTATGTGTGTGTGTAGGGTGGTGGCTACTGGGAATTGAGCCC